CACACACACACACACAAGTGGTGCATGCTTGTATCGTGAGTACACACATATGCTGAGTTGGGAACGGAACTCTTCACTGATGCGAGCACAGCCACTGAAGCATTCGAGAACAGTCACATCCTCAAGCGTGTGATCTAACTGATCTGAGGATCGATTGCTGCTACTGCGCTCTGCGGCCCTTCAGATCTAATATATGAGGCTGCAGCTCTGATGCAAGGATTCTCCTTCGTGTGCGCGATTGTCGCCACATAGTGGCAAGCCTGAAGCCTGAGTAGGTTCAGACAAGAAGTTGCAGGATCACCACGGTGACCGTATGACAATCCAATATCGGGTAAGTAGCACAAGGGCAGGGACTCCCATCGCCAGTAACATGGCACAAGCATTGCCACTCAGTGACAATGGATGGACTTCCATCCTCTGGAGATCCAGCTATATATGTGAGAGTCTACCGCCATTTAGTTCAATCACCTCACCGAACCTCAAAGCCGAAGCAAGGCATCCCAGGCAAAGCTTTATAGGCATTCGACAAGCCCGGTCCATGAAGCAACGGAGCGAGCATTCGTGTAGTTTTGAGCGTCTCTGGCGAAGCTCTTCCCCAATTGCAAGAACTTGACATGTGAACTGAATTTCGTCACCAGCCTGCTGGGATCCCTGCAGACAAGTGAGCTCTTGTGCCATAGGCGTCACACACAGCACCAGCGATATCCAACTTGCAGGAATGTGACGAGGATAGAGTCCGATAGAGCAACTGCTGTGTGCTTTCTACGAAAAGGTGCATGGACACTAGGCTGCCATCTCCGAAGCCTCCACAAACGCCTGGATCGAATCAGGCTCCGGAAGCTGCGCTGGCTCCGGAATCCAGCCTGAAAGAATCCTGGCAACTTTGAAACCGAACTTGTAGCTGTACCTGTTGAAGTTCACGTTCGTGCCGTGCTTTTCGTTGACCTGGCAGAATAGGAGTGGGTGCAGGGTGTTTAAGTGTGAATTTGGGGTTTTGGGTTTTAGGATTGAGTCGCATAAGATTGGGCTCCGGGAGTCAATGGAATTTGGGCTTTTGGACTCGGGTCTTGGAACTTAGTCGGATCTTGGATTGGGACTTAATCAGGTTTTGGGACTTAGTCGAATTTTGGGCTTAGGGATTTAATCGAGTTTTGGGCTTTGGGTTTTGGGACTTAGTCGAGGCACCTTCAGCTTCAACTGTTCCATCACCATCTTGATCAATGGGGAGTGGCAGGTCTCGAGGACATAATAATTGTTTTTGTTGGCAATAACCTGGAGTTTGCTTCCAGACTCGATTGTCTCTGGGGGCACAATCGTGTAGGACCTCAGAAACATAGTTGATGTTTTTAGGCAACAGCAGATGAGTCAGCAGTCTATCCCGACTAGCAGATGAGAGGCTTCTGGGTCTGCTCCTTTGCATTCGGGCGCTGCAATCCCACACGGAAGGCCGGCTCCAGCAGGTGCATGATGTCCCCAACTACGGCCTATGCGAACAAGGATTACAATGACGCATTCCACTGATGTCACACCGAACATGATACCAAATAGATCGTCTGCACACCAAGCAGCTTCACCCTTCTTTGCCTGCTTAGCTGGCTTATCTGTAGGGCCAGCCGAATCGGGAGCAGTCGTAACCACCTGCCCTGGACCCGGAGTCGCAACCGGGGCTTCAGGACTCTGGCCGGCTGCTTCGTCTGCCTTGCGCTTTCGGCCGGCCTTTGCTTTGGGCTGTCTCTTGGCTGCAGCTTCGGGCTCTGTCTGGGCTTGCGCCTTGGCTTTCGCTTTCGCTTGTGCCCGGGTGGCACCTTAATGCAACCACTGAGAAGTTTCAAGCTATGCATACACACGGTTTTCATGACCAACATCCCAATCGAATAGTTATTGCATCAAGAAACTCTCCAGCACCTTCTGTGCCTTTTGCTCGCGGGCTTGTGCTTTCAAGGCCCGCTGCTGCATGAACAGCTGCAGATCTGCATCCAGTCCATAGTCATTCAGCTGATTCTTGATAGACTCAGGAAGCTCCACTGCACCCTCCGGAATCAATGGCTTTGCATCCTGCTCCACCGACTCCTAGCAGCTTCGAGAATCCGAGAATCAACACCACCACGAAAAGTCGCCACCGCCACCTAGCAATAGCGATAGCCATAATCCTGCTAAGCATTCTTAATCTACTTCTTACGATGAAATACTAAACAAGCAATACTACTAACAATAAACAATGCAAGAGTAGTAACAACGAGAAACAACAATAACAGCTTCGTTATGTTAATCATCGTCACCATCATCATCAGCAGCAGCAGCACAACAGCAAACAAG